CAACTTTGAAATCAAGGCGAGTATTATTTTCCCTCTCCTGTTTACTCAGTGGCAAATTGATCCTGAAAATTAAGTCTTAGCTTTTATTCATCATACTGTATAAATAAACAGCAGTTTATTCTGTTATTCCTCTTTGAAGACAACTCTTCCTCGGTGCATCATGATAGAATGAGAATTTACTTTGTCTCAAGAATTTTCAAACATCTTTTCTCTTTGTTAAAAAAAAATACCCTAGTTAATTCCTTTCCCCTTTTTTCTCCCTTTCAACTCTCATGTCCTTCTCTAAGTTGTCTTAACTTTTGGACTTCACTCCCTTTTAAGACACTGCATATGGACTCTTTATGTGCATTTTAAAACAATAAAAATACCTTTTCATCTCAGTATTGTTTAGGGGTTGGTCAGTTTTATAGGCCAAATATTTATGATTTATACAGACGGCATGGGAAGAAAAAGGGGAAAAGAAAGAGACTGGAAGTAGTGACAGGAACTTATAGGAGTCTGCAGTTGTTGCAGTATACAACTATTATGACAAAGAAGAAAGCAATGGGACCTTAATACCATCTGCAGTGTGTGCCATTTCAAAACAAGAGTGCATAACTATTAGTTGAATGACATTAACAGCACTGTGGCCCCATTCAAAGAGAAACAAGTATAGGATTGACCACTATGAGTAGCCCTACCCTTTCCTTTGTGATGTCAGTGACTGATTCTCAGTGGTCTGCACCAGATGTAAATCCTTCCATGTGCTTCCAATTCCAGTACTAACTAGGGCCATGCTCCCATGGAAGCCTTCAGCCGCACACCTTCAAATGCAAAGGTTGTCTCACAGCAAATGAGAGGTGACCCACCGCATGACTTACTGGTAGGATGGGGAGGGGCTGCCCCCTGCTCTTCAAGTGGAGGTTGTATCACCTAAACAGGATTGGTCATGGAGTATTTCAATGGAGAAATAAATGGCGGTAGGGATAATGACAGTGATAAAAAAAACCACTGCACAAAAATAGTTATATTAGGATAATGCATAATGATTTATATATATAATTTTCAATCAGAATAGAGCTGGAAGGGACCTTGGAGATCTTCCAATCCAACCCCTGCTCAAGCAGGAGACCCTATACAATTTCATACAAATGGCTGTCCAATCTCTTCTTAAAAACCTCCAGTGACGAAGCACCCACAACTTCTGGAGGCAAGCTGATCTACTGGTTTATTGTTCTCACTGTTAAGAAGTTTCTCCTTAATTCCAGGTTGCTTCTCTCCTTGATTAATTTCCATCCATGTTTCTTGACTTGCCTTCTGGTGCTTTGGAAAATAAGTTGACCCTCTCTTCTTTGTGGCAGCCCCTCAAGTAGTGGAATACTGCTATTATATGAGCCATGATGATGCAGTGGTTAGAGTGCAGTACTGCAGGCTACTTCTGCTGATTACCGGCTGCCAGCAGTTTGGCAGATCGAATCTCACCAGGCTCAAGGTTGACTCAGCCTTCCATCCTTCTGAGGTGGGTAAAATGAGGATCGAGATTGTTGGGGGCAATATGCTGACTCTGTAAACTGTTTAGAGAGGGCTGTAAAGCACTATGAAGTGCTTTATACAGTATAAGTCTAAGTGCTATTGCTATTGTGTCCCACCAGTCTCTAGACTAGCCATACCCAGATCCTGTAACTGTTCTTCATATGTTTTAGTCAAAATGTATCATATAAGAGGATACATTTTATAATTTTGTATAAAGTTATACATTTTATAAATATTCTATCAATGTTTTTATTATCTGGTAATATAACTATACCTAGAAATAACTATGGGCATGTAGTTATTAAAGCTTTTTTACCAGAACACTTGGAAAGACCAGTAGAAGATAAAAGCTCTATCAGCAATATACTTGAAGGGAATGCAAATGGAGGGGCACACATGAGCACATCTCCAGTGTTTATTCTTTTTTTTTAACTTAACCAGAATAGAATAGAATAGAATAGAATAGAATAGAATAGAATAAGAATAGAATAGAATAGAATAGAATAGAATAGAATAGAATAGAATAGAATAGAATAGAATTTTATTGGCCAAGTATGATTGGACACACAAGGAACTTATCTTGCATATGCACTGGAGCATTAACTCTGGAGAAGATGTTGTCGCTTAAGGAAACCAATGTTAAGATTTTTTAGCATTTTTATTTAATTTGGTTTGTGTGCATGTAGATACATTTCTTTCTCTCTTTCTTTCTTTCTCTCTCTTTCTTCCCCCCCCTCTCTCTCTTCCTTTGCTTTTTGTGTTTTGCCTTTGAGTATTGGTACATTATACCAATCGCTTTAGAAAAGTCAGGAACTGAAAATACTTCAAAACATCAAATGTCAAATGAAGTATAATACTTTACAATCCATAAACCGCAAAGGTCAGAACAAAAAGAAAAAATGGAATTTGTGAACTTTGTATAATCTCAAACGTGATCAATGGTGCCCGCCAGAGTTTAATTTTCCCACAGGAAAATGAAGCAAGCTCCATCAGTGTTGGCAATGTGCCTGTTGCTATGCATGAAGGCAGCAGACCCAGTTGCAATCTGACTCTCTCCTGGCAGCCCCACATTCATTTATATACACACACATACTTGTATATGTACTACTTCCCTACCTGCACACCTCTGCAAAGCATTGTTAAGGGAATAAAACCCTATAGTTTCCTTCCTCTGTCCCTGGGAGGACTAGGGCAAAGTTCCTCATCCCAGAAGGGATCTCACAGAACATCTGATTTTGCACTGCTAATAAAAGCAATATTGCTCAAAGGCAACGGAAGGAGAAACTATTCATTGTTTTCTCTATTTCCTAGCAATTCTGGCACTAGGAATTTCAATCATTTTTTCTAGGGCTGCTGGGAACAAAGCCCACCCTCATTCTAATAGGTTGCCACTGAAACTAGAAGTACAAATCAAGTAATATTAATTTCTGGAAGGAAGGGGAAAATAGCAATAGCACTTAGACTTATATACCGCTTCACAGTACTTTACAGCCCTCTCTAACAGGTTTACAGAGTCAGCCTATTGCCCCCAACAATCTGGGTCCTCATTTTACTGACCTCAGAAGGATGGAAGGCTGAGTCAACCTTGAACCTGATGAGATTCGAACTGCTGAATTGCAGGCAGCCAGCAGGCAGCAAAAGTAGCCTGCAGTACTGCATTCTAACCACTGCGCCACTACGGCTCTTGGTGGAATGGAAGATGAGATTCATCTTCCACTTTTGTTTTTGCTTTATTGACTAGCTGATTTGCTGATCTGCTGACCAGCATAAAGTGGCTAGTCAATGGGAAATCAATCATTGATTATCTTTTGCTAGTCGTGATGGGGGAATAGTAATTCTCTCCCATGAGCCAGCTGGCCATAGGTTCAAACTGATGGGTTGGCCTCAGCAGGTAACACCAAAATCACAGTGGTCCATGTAAGGTCTATAAGCTATATATAAGTCAATATAAGACAAGAATGTGTTGATCAGGAATCTGATGAACTTAATGATTGCTCATATGTTAAGATGGTGAGGCTAAAGTTCAGGCCTCAGCAGTCCTTTGATGTCATGGAAAGTCCCTAAAGAAACCAGTAGCCTGTGGTTTAGGCATGTGACCAAAACAATAGAAGGCGTCCTTGACTATTTTAATAATTTCTATATTTCTATACCTTATCTATTGTGTGCCAGCTTCCTCTTATATAACTAAGTTAAAATGTATAAATATCTGCCTCACCCTGTGTTCAGGGCTCCTTCCTTCTTAGAAGAGGCCCATCTTTATTCAGCTGAATAAACTGCTGCTCTGCTATTTCTATCAGAGACAGGGTTTAAAGGGGTTTCAAAGGTTCCCCATAGGTCAAAACTGCCAAAAGCAACACTATTTAACAAAAAGTTATATTTTCTTGCAGCTGTCACAGCTGTCAGAAGATAAAGGTTAACAAGTGTGTTTATTTTTTTAGTTTGTTATTTATTTATTGGATTTTTACCTTGTCTTAGTTAACCGATCCTTGGTAGATTACAAGTTGCACAATAGTGTAACCATTAAAACATCAATGATTGAATACCAACATAAAAAATGATAAAAATAAAAGCTAAGTAAAATAATAAAAAGGGTACAATACATGAAACCAGGAAAATCTAGAAAATGCCCTAAGGAACACTTCAGTTTTTATAATTTCCTAAAAGCCAGTGGAGATGGGCGGAGTCTGATCTTCAAAGTGGAAGCCATTTGAAATTACAGAAAAGCAATACTGTCTCGCCTAGGTCTCCTCCCCTCTCTAAGTGTGGGACCATTACCAACTGTTCTGTACCAGTTCTAATGGATTATTTTGATGTTGGCTGATTACCTATGTATTATTATTATTATTATTATTATTATTATTATTATTATTATTATTATATTTTTTAATTTGATTTATATGCCGCCCTTCTCTGGAGACTCAGGGCGGCTTACAATGCATTAAGCAATAGCCTTCATACTTTTGTATATTTATACAAAGTCAGCTTATTGCCCCCACAAACTGGGTCCTCAATTTACCTATCTTAGAAAGGATGGAAGGCTGAGTCAACCTTGAGCCTGGTGAGATTCGAACTTGCAGTAATTGCAGGCAGCTGAATGTTAATAACAGGCTATTAGTCTGCTGCGCCATCAGGCTCTGTACTTCTCACAACAACCAGTGTAAGCAGGGTTCTAAGAAGTTGGTGGCAGATTATGACCTAGGCAGCATCTCATCTACTTCTTCCATGATCACAGACCAAACAATTCCCAATTACATTGTAAGGTGTATAAAAGGATACTGCCCTTCTTAGCTAAAGTTATGTTGAATCTATGGCCAGATCTTCATTTTGCTCTTCTCAGGATGGGAGTTTACTACTCTAGATAAGGCCTCTGCATGATAGCCCATTGATGCAATAAGGGAGAAGTAAACATATTTTCTTCCTTATCACCACACTGTAGGGCTCAACATGAGGACATCTCCTTGCTTGGTCAGATTTGCTTCTTGTTTTCCTCACTGATACTCCAGGCATTGCTTCTGTTGCTTCATTTCCAGAAGGGCATTGGAAAACCCAGGTGACAATTTGAAATGGTTTCAGGAAGAGGCCATTGGCAATGTATCCAGTGCCTGGCATGTTTCTTGTTGTGTACCAGACAGTGGACAGAACTGCCCATCAGACACCTGGGAAACTGGATTAGGCATTGGACTGGACCTTTGGAATGGATTCGACTGCTCCACGGAAGTTTCAGGTGTCTCTTTATCACAACCAGATCAGGGAATATTTGCCCATGGCATTGTTCTTGGGATTTAACATTTTTATTGGGTTATAAAATAAAATGAGATACAAAATATGAAAGTAAATAGGAAAACATGGGGAGGAAGAGGGGGAAGAGAAGTGAGGGAGGATAAGAAAAAAAGAAAAAGAAACATTGACTTCCGACTCTCTCTGTTGCAGTAGAATAAGGCATTAACATAAAATCACAACTTTTTGTTTTTTGATAATAATATGAACAAGCCATTTCTATAAGGATCTATCAATCTAATTGGTAAAACCTAAAATCAAAGTTTCATTCTTTTCCACTTCAAGCACAAAGTTCAGAAGTGGTCTCCACGTGGAAATAAAAGTACTTATATTCTTTTCTTGCCCATGGCATTGTGATCATAGAAGCCTCCTTCCTCTACAGATCATCCAACTAAGTGCTGGGAGACAGACAAGATCCAGGATGCGACCACCAACATGGGTTGAACCTGAAAGTTCCCATGAAGGACATGAACTGACAAACTTTAGTTATTCTATTCCTTAGCAAAGTAAAATATATACTGTGCCCACCCAATTCCTTTTGAAGAAAAAATAATAATCTGTGAATCGTATTTGTTAACAATCTTCATATATTGGGACAGATCACTTTAGATCAAAGTCTCTGCAACATTTGATTTACATAATACAAATAATCGCTTGATAGTTGGTTGGAAGTAGGGCAAAAATAAAACATTATTTGATTAAAAATAAATTAAATTAATACTGTTAATATGATTATTTCACTGGATCATCCTGGAGAGGAAGGAATACAAAAAAGTTTCACACTTGGTATTTTTTTCTTTTGACATGTCTGTATTTTTAGCTTTCTACAATGCTGATCTCTCCAGATTTGTTTATTTAACCTGATTTGTTCTTTGATTCTGATGATTGGCTTCTTATGGTTCTTGGCAGCTGACTTGTCTCAGAGTATTATACGTGATTCAGTCTTTATGGTTGCAAAAACAACATTGCCCTAATTTTCACTGACTGTTCTATTGTGCCACTTCCTTCAACTATGAGTTGGAAAAAATCACAAAATAAGATTCCTGCATTAAAATTAAAAGATTTTGTAGCACACTATATAGATTAGCCTTCTTCCTGGCAGAATGAAGTATTTCCTTGTTGTAAGATTTCAATATGGATGACATGTTTATAAATGGAATCTTATTTCTTCTGACAGCCATACTTGTAATCTCAAATATTAGAATGCAGATTCCTGTTTTCTGAGATCAAGGGTACTCTATGCACACTATATACAATCAAGAAAGTCAAATGGATAAATAAGGACCTTATTTTTACAAAATGTAAAAAAAGATCTTACAAAAAAAAAATTCTTAACTTTCCAAATTGGCCATTTGGGCAAAAATGTGCAGCTTGCTTTTAAATAGATTTATTCTAATTACTCTGAGATGTACCACAGTGGTTAAATTTAAGATGTATTACTGGCATGTACACCAGGGAGACGGTTTTATAGATCATCTTCATGTGCCAAGATATTTTGATTAGTCAACCAGATGTATCTTTTGGACTAGAAACACAGAATTATGAATTACTAGGAGTCATTGCTGCATCGTGTCAATCTAATAAACTATTTATTGGGAATAGAACAGGAGACAACTTCTAAAACTGGCTAAAGGTCCTAGGTTTTAAGCACCAATCAAGTTTTCCCTCAAAAAAATTCTTGTCAAGAAATTTAGTGAAAAGCAGAAGTTTAAGCATTGACATTACAATTTATAATACTGGATCTCCGTTACTCAAAGATAGATGAAATGTTAGAGATAGATAGTTAGAGAGATAGAGAGACATCAAATAAAAGGAAATATAGCAAGAACCTACAAACCCTGTCAGCCTACTTTTAGTTGGGGATGAAAGTGACAGCGAAAACATCTTTCACCCATAGTTAATAAATGCCTTCAAGGAAATAAAATATAAAATAGCCTATGGCAGCAGAGTAAGCAGTTGTTACTCTCCAAACATTTTAGCAGGAATAGGTACTGTATAGCTTCAACGGATTGGAAGATACCAGTCTGCCTCTTTATCGCTGATAGGAAATGACATATGCAGTGCTATATTGCATAAGCAAAACAAGCTGGTAAACAGCCTTTCTTAAGAAGCCATCATAACTAGAGCATCAGTATCAGGCTGAATGTGCTCTGCCTAAAATTAGGATGGAGTTCTGTAAATATATTTTAGCTTCCTTAGATGGAATGCTGTGATTTCGGAATGCAGCACTGTTCTTTATAAATATGCATGTATAACCTTTTTTGATGCTGAGCACAATTCGGCCAACTCAGTAAATTCTATAGCTCCCAGAAGAAAATTAAGAAGGCTCTAAGGCTGTGTATCTTCCCCTCATCCTCCAGCTTACAGCTGCAGAGCTGAGATCAAATATACCTTATTTCCTCGCATTTGCAAGCTCTTTGAAAGATTACTTTCCTTCCTAAATGGATTCTGTATATTATTTTTAGAATTAGAATCAAAGCATGAAACTAGCATGACTGACTTTCCATAATTCTCCAAATAGATTTAATACTTTTCTCTTATACCTGTTGAGGTCCAATAGTGGAATTAATAACAAGAGTTATTATAAAATGTCTCTACTAAAATGTTTTCTTAACACCTTTGCAGAAATTCAGAACAATCATCTGGAGTTAGCAGAGAAGGTTGGTTCAATCACTGTAACACCAACCCTTCCAAAGGGCCCAGCTGAGTTGACCCATACTCAAAGTATGTCAATTTCATGAAACCCTGATGCTCTCTGAGCCTGGAGAGCACAAAGGACTCCACAATTCAACCACGAGCTGCATATATTCTCTTCTACATCAATTTCTTCAGTCAAGAATGTGACATTCAGTCTCTTATATCAAAGGTGTGTATTTCTTGGTCCCATAGAGTCTGCCTATCTGCTTCTTTAGTTAGAGAACTATGCAGAATTGACAGACAAAAGTTCACATACCGCATTGAATTGTGGTTTACATATGATATACCATAGTGAATCAACCACCATTTCTGGTTTACATTTTATTGTATTTGCAATATATATTATACTTGGATGAGATACATCAGTTACTTCTACTTGGAAGCCATTTCCCCTCCAGTGATGTAGTATCACCCAATTATTGTCGAGGTGAGGTTCTCATTGCTGTTATGTTTGTGTTATAAAGTAGAAGCATTGCAAAAGGTGTTTCAAGTCATTTATGGGGAATCTCACCGAGTCGCTACTTAAAATTCCATAGGCTTTATTTCTTTTCTGGTCACAGTATCCAAATTAGATCTTTTTTGCATAATTCATACAATGCATTCAAGCAATTGCACGGAGGTCAACACAAATTTCTCTTCCATCGATCAACATCCCTTGTTCTCCCAAGTCCCACCTTTCTTTGGCTAGTGCTGAAAAAAATCTATTAAGGAAGAAAGATAGAGCAGCTGTCAGTGGGACGGCCTGTCAAGAAAATCAAAATGGCAGCCATGATGAAACCCCTGCTCTTTTTCTATGTGTATCAAGATGTTGCCTGAAAGTTAAAAGGGGGGAGGCCTTCAATCACATAGTCACATACACCAATGTGACTTTTTTAAAAAAATCTCCCTGGTGGACATCCATATTATGCTATGGAGGTTTGCTATCAATGGCAAGGTAGCAACAAAATGTAGTGACTGATTTGCTTTTATATCTGAACAGGGAAAGAAAGATTGATATTAAGGCACAGAAGTACATATCTGTGACCGTACTCTGAAAGTCTGAAGAGACCTGAAAAAAGTCAGCCCAGCCCAGATCTCTCTGGTTTAAGAAGAGCTGGGAGGTAAAAAGACTGGTCATCTGAAAAATCCCTGATTTTTACTTTCATATTCACATGCAAACTTTCAAAAAGCAGGAAGCAGCAGCAAGCAGTCATCTCATATCGGGATTCCTGCTTCACAACATTCCATTTATTATGTATGAATAGGTTCTTGATCTGAAATGCTGACATGTTCTGATAGATCACGCAGAAGCAATCTGGACTTTATGGATAACTGCCAGTGGTTGTTAATGATTGCATCATCAATCTTGACATTCTGCATAAACAATTATTAAGCTACCACATCTTTCCCCGCAGATGTGTTAGAATATGATTCCCATCACCCCACAGACATCACAGCTTGATATGCTAAACTGGGAATGACAGAAGTTCATGACCAACACATTCAAGAGATCTCAAGTCTTTTAAATTTACCCAGCTTTCTAGTGCTGATTTTCCAGCCCTCATATCCTTGCTCAATAAAACTACATTTCTAATTTCATGTGTATATAATAGAAAATGTACAGCTACAACAAATTAAATAAATTGATTTTGCAGGTTGGATAATAACTTGTTTTCTTGATAATTGAACTCTTATTCCTTTAAGTGGTTTTCCCACTTTAAAATTTGATGAATTTCTCCTAGTACTGGGTTGCCAATAAATGAGTATCTTATGGGCAAATCTTAAGAGTGCATCAACTGGATGTTTTGGATTTTTAAACTGAATATTGCAATCTTCAGGGTTTATATTTTAATTTTCCCACTTTCTACTTTAATTTAGAGTTTGGTATTTTTTTCTGTTGTTCGTGTGCGGGTGGTATTGAACCAAGGCTTTTCATCAGCATAACCTTCCAGCACCATCTGGCCTCCATTGACCATTATACTGGTTCAATACTTTCCTCAAATAGATTTGCTTTCCAGGGAAACTCAGTTAAATTGATATTGATTGAGGTAGGTATTCTGAAGCAGATCTGAATCAATTAAGATATATTAACACAAGGCACTAGCTGCTTAGGAGCAATGTGCGGAATGAATATAAAATGTAAAAGAATATGCAGAATGACATCTATTATAGATTTTATGGAGATAGACATGGGATGTCTACATTATTCATGCCTATTGACGTCTCTACTGCACAGAAGGAAAGCCAGTAAAAATTATTGAGCAGCATCTGCTGTTGTACCTACAAGTACTCCTGCCTATAATCATACATAAATATCTGCCATCTTATTTTCATTTGTTTACTTAATTTGTTGCATTTATACCCTGCTTTTTCTTCAAGAGTTCCAGGTAATGTACAGTACAAAGTATTCTACCTCCAATTTTATTTTCATAACAATATGATGGAGAGAGCAGCTGGTCCAGAGTTCACCCAAAAAGCTACATTTTCAAATGGACACTTGTAACTGTCTCTCCATGATCCAAGACGGGTGCCTTAATCACTGAACCACACATATATATCTCGTTCTTCTATTTGTTTTATTTTTTTTTTCAGTTTTAGGGTTTTGTAATGACATCATAAATGCTAATATATGATTATAGACATATCTTATCTAATATTATTATTACCTAATATGTAACACAATTAGAAGAAGTAGTACATGCATAAAGAAAAGAAAAACTATATAAAGAGAAGCAAAAGCAAAAACAAAGCAAAACAAAAAGTATGACAATTCTCTACTTTTCTTCACTGTAAATGAAATGAAGTTCACTTCTCAAGGTACAATCACATTTGAGACCCGAATGTCTTTTGTAAGTCCTTGCAGTCATAAGCCAAGTCAGACCTGATTTTATGGCCATTTTTACAATGGTTGTTAAGTAAACACTTAACATTTGGTGAATGTTTGCTTAAGAACCATTATGTGGTTTGTAAGTGCAAATCCATTTAATAGTTTATAAGTGCAAACCCGTTCTTCTCAGGTGCCTTGGAAAATAGTGTGACCCTCTCCTCTCTGTGGCAGCCCCTCAAATATTGGAAGACTGCTCTCATGTCTCCTTGGTCCTTCTCTTCCCTAGACTAGCCATGCCCAGTTCTGCAACCGTTCTTCATATGTTTTAGCCTCCGGTCCCCTCATCATCCTGGTTGCTCTTCTCTGCACTCTTTCAAGAGTCTCAACATCTTTTTTATGATGTTTTTTTTTTATGGGTGGGGTTTGGTTTTTTATGATGGGAGTCTCAACATCTTTTTTATGATGGGTGGGGTTTGGTTTTTTGCTGGAAACCGACAAAAAGGTCTCAAGTTGAGATGACACGACATGAGGACTCTGCAACCAAATGTGAGCCAATTGCAAAGAGCCAATTGTGATCATGTGACAATGGGGGTGATACAATGGTCATAAGTGAGAGGACTGGACTTTTTTCAACACCATGTAACTTTGAACAAATGGTCATAAGTAGAGAGCTACCTGTATAAACAGTCACTGCTATTTAAATCAGTTCAATAAAGACTAAAGAGAAATCATATTATCTAATTCTGCCTCTCCATCAAAGCTAAGCTAATTCAAAGGCTAAAGGTTCACAAGATTCATTAAATCAACGTTTAGAATCTGACACACTAACAGAAGAAGTACTCTGTCACTTTCTTGCAACAGTCCCAGTGTGATTTAGCCAAACCTCTTCATAAATTGATCAGTTCCCAATTCCTGAAATATATTTTAATAGTTTAATATGGCCTTCTCCTGTATTAAATCCTATGCTTACTTTGTCTAATTTGTAAGTAAATGCAAGCATTACAAAATGCCCCTAAGCTTTCATTGACCTCTTTCCAAAGGAAATACATCTGGATAAGCATCTGAAATGGCCGAAAGCAAGACTGTCATGCCATATTTGTTGCTGGCGCATTTACAATACAGGGTAAGTAGTGAGAGTGTTGCATCAGCTGTTTTGATAAGGGAAGGGAAGACTTCATAACAGAAGGGTTAGTGCGGTGCTAAAAGCTGCCCAATACACTCACAATTAATACAAATTTATAAAAATGGTCCCTATATTAGCAGCATTGAAGACTCGCCCCCTCAGCATGCTGTGTTGAGTCTGGATTGTAGCAAGGAATGTAATTATGAGCCATGGTGGGGCAGTGGTTAGAATACAGTACTGCAGGCTGCTTCTGTTGACTGCTGGCTGCCTGAAGTTTGACAGTTCAATTCTCACCAGGTTTAAGGTTGACTCAGCCTTCCATACTTCCGAGGTGGGTAAAATGAGGACCCAGGTTGTTAGGGGCAATATGTTGACTCTGTAAACCACTTAGAAAGAGCTATAAAGCATTGTGAAGCGATATATAGACAGTGAAGTCTAAGTGCTATTGCTATTGCTAATCCATGGACGTGTGACTCACAAAGGGGCACAGTTTGACCTCTTGGTCCCCCTTTACCAAAGTCTAGGCTCTTTTAACAAATAAGATTTTAATAAGAATAAATAAATAAATTAGGGAATGGTGGCTCAGTGGCTAAGACGCTGAGCTTGTCAATCGAATGGTCGGCAGTTCAGCAGTTCGAATCCCTAATGCCGCATAACAGGGTGAGCTCCCATTATTTGTCCCAGCTTCTGCCAACCTAGCAGTTCGAAAGCACATAAAAAATGCAAGTAGAAAAATAGGGACCACCTTTGGTGGGAAGGTAACAGCATTCCATGCGCCTTTGGCGTTTAGTCATGCCAGCCACATGACATGGAGATGTCTTCGGACAGCGCTGGCTCTTCAACTTTGAAACAGAGATGAGCACCGCCCCCTAGATTCGGGAATGACTAGCACATATGTGCAAGGGGAACCTAAGAATAAAATGTCTAGCAGCTATTGGGCACCTGCTAAGACAAAAGAGGGAAAAATACATAATTGGGGTTGCAGCTGGAAGTTTCTTGCAGCTGCAAGAAATAAGAAAAGCTAAATTGGGTAAACAGCCTCTCTTCCAGATGTTAATTAAAAATGCAGGTCAATCCCAGACATTGTTCTATGGATTCTTCCATAAGGATATGTTTGTCACCTGCAGATTCCATGTACTTTCATCACTGTGAACAAATTTGCTTTGAATTTGTTTTGAAGCAAAGGGGGCTATCTATAACAGTGCAAGGCATTTCCTCAAATCTGGAGAGCCAAACCAAGCTGAAGCACACAATTGCATCTCATTTCTGAAAACGTCTAATTTCATATCCTTTCCTGCAAGACACTTCAGACTTACACCAGTCAAGTTGGTAATTGTGCATCCTGTGAGCACAACAGGGTGTAATGTTGCCTCGCATCAAGAGCTGGGACTGAAATTAAAAGAAACCAAATGAAATGTATTTTTTTAAAAAATGGAATTGCTGTTTTCACCTTCGCCAAGAGAAAAGCTGGTGGGGGGAGGGGGGAAGCAGCATGTAATTGCCAGTATATATTAAACTATGCAAAATTGCTTTTTTATTTTGTTTTTAAATACAAGAAACATGGGGAAAAGAAAACCTTTAAGGAAGAACCTGTAAATGGAAAACATCCTACTTTTTCTCTTCCTGCCATATGCAAACATCCTCCTCAATCTCTCCCCATCTGTGGGTTGCAGATATCCTGTCTTTCCTTCCCCAGTTTTACTGAAAAGGAAAAGTATAACATGAAAAATGGAAATTTCAAAACAGCACTTGTGCTGGTAACATGGCAAGAAAAATAGAAATTGCTCTTTGATCCTGCATTTGACAAAAAAAGTTATGAATAGCACACCCTTATAAATATAAGCTTCATACATCAAGGGCTAGGACAGTTCCCTTATGCAATATCCCAGTAGCTTGGCTTCTGATATAACAATCTTGTTCTAATAAACACCATGTATTAACCAAGGATAAATGTTACACTATGAACACTTTCTTCCTTTTTCCTTCTGCATTAGCCAGAATACTTAAATCACAAATAAGCTAACATTCCTCATACAAATAGGTTTAATTCTGGTTTCAAGTTCTGCTTTATAAAATGACATTAAATGCGGGAGGGAGGGAGGAAGGGAGGGAGGGAGAGAGGAAGGAAGGAAGGAAGGAAGGAAAGAAGGAAGGAAGGAAGGAAGGAAGGAAGGAAGGAAGGATATATGATTTTGCAAATTTAGGATTATCAGATCTCTGAAGAGGTAAAGGAGAACATGAACAATTGGAAAGAAAGACAAATAGGAAGAAAAAACATACTAACTGTTTAACTGTCTTTACCCCATGACAAAATTCACAACAACAACAAAAATGTACTTGGACCTACATGTATTAATTTCTCCAGCATCAGAAAGACTTCTTTTTCAATTGCAACATTTTCCAAACATTTCTTTTCTTTTCAAGAACATATGCTAGTGATAATATAGAATCAATGCTGACGTGCTTTCCAAATTTCACCATAGAAACGTATGACATTCATCTGATTTACAGACTATAGCGATTACAGGTAGAGTTGAAGGGGCTGGATTGAAAGCAGTGGCTGAAATCAGAAAATAAATTAAAAAACATCCATCTAGGCTGTTGTGTATGTCAACAGATGAGGGAAAGAGAGTAGCAGACAATTTACAAGGTCATAATACATAAACGTTTAAACGACTAGTCCTGTAAAAACAGTCCAAAATATATTTTAAGAATGG